GGCAAGTCCAGTCAGCTCCCTGCGGACATGACAAGCCCAACGGTACAGACATCAGGGAAGAGTGATAAAACTCACAGAAGTCAGCCAGGCGCAATTGCTCATGCCTGTAATCCCAGCACTTTGGGAGGCCGAGGCGGGCAGATCACGAGGTCAGGAGATCGAGACCATCCTGGCCAACATGGTGAAACTCCGTCTCTACTAATACAAAAAAATTAGCTGCGCATGGTGGCGCGTGCCTGTACTCCCAGCTACTCGGGAGGCTGAGGCAGGAGAATCACTTGAACCGGGAGGCAGAGGTTGCAGTGAGCCAAATTCCCGCCACTGCACCCCAGCCTGGTGACAGAGCGAGACTCCATCTCAAAAACAAACAAAAAACTCACAGAAGTCAGAGGAGAGGGAGAATAGTGGCGGGGTGGCTAATTCATAAAAGGAAAGTAAGTTTCACCACTGGGAAATCGAAACTTCAAGTAGGGACGGGGCCAAGATGTTTGTTTTTTTTTTTCAGACGTTGTCTTGCTCTTGTCGCCCAGGCTGGAGTGCAATGGCGCTATCTCAGCTCACCGCAACCTCCGCCTTCCAGGTTCAAGTGATTCTCCTGCCTCAGCCTTTGATTAGCTGTGATTACAGGTCCACCATTGCGCCTGGCTAATTTTTGTTTTTGGTAGAGACAGGTTTCACCATGTTGGCCAGGCTGGTCTCGTACTCCTGACCTCATGATCCACCTGCCTCAGCCTCCCAAAGTGTTGGGATTACAGGCGTGAGCCACTGTACCTGGCCAAGATGTCACGTAAGGGGATAATGAAACTTAGGCGAAGTCCAGGAAGGCTGCAACCCTGTAGTACTCAGCCTGTGAGGAACGGGGGGAGGGACCTGCACACTAGGGGTTAATTGCTTGTTGAGACTGTACCGGGTGTGCCTGCCCATTAGACACCTGATCTTACATGACTGTTACTAAAAAGTCTCACTTTCGTCCCGGCATGGTGTCTCACTCCTGTAATCCCAGCATTTTGGGAGGCCTAGGCAGGTGGATCACCTGAAGTCAGGAGTTCAAGACCAGCCTGGCCAAGATGGTGAAAACCCGTCTGTACTAAAAATACAAAAATTAGCTGGGCATGATGGTGGGTGGCTGTAATCCCAGCTACTTGGGAGGCTGAGGCAGGAGAATTGCTTGAACACAGGAGGCAGAGGTTGCAGTGAGCTGAAATCGTGCCCTTGCACTCCCACCTGGGTGACAGAGCAAGACTCCCATCTTAAAATAAACAAACACATATCAGCTGAGATTGAAATATTCACCTATTGGTTGGGCACCGTGGCTCATGCTTGTAATCCTAGCACTTTGGGAAGCTGAGGTGGGTAGATCACTTGAAGTCAAAGGTTCGAGACCAGCCCAGCCAATATGGTGAAACCTTGTCTCTAATAAAAATACATAAAAAATTAGCTGGGTGCGGTGGCACACACCCAGCTACTCGGTAAGGCTGAGGCAGAAGAATCAGCTGAACCCAGGAGGTGGAGTTTGCAGTGAGCCAAGATCGCGCCACTGCACTCCAGACTGGGTAACAGAGGGAGACTCCATCACAAAAACGAGAAAGAAAAAAAGAGAAATATTCCCCTATTCTCCAAGGGTCAGAAAATGGAAATATACTGCTCAATGCTTCCTTAAGTCAAAATCTAAGTTGTCAAGGTGTATTAATGAATAGAAACAGAACTCACTTTCCATCTCAAATGCCAGTGGGAGAAGTCCTACAACTTAATGTGTCAGATTTTAGGATCTTACACCTATTTAATCTAGCCTAGGATAGAAGAAAAGTGACACAGAATTGTAAAATTTTATTTTCCACACGTCAACATTCTTATTAACACAGCTTGATCGAAAAAATTCTGACCATAAGCATATTATTTCCCTTTGGAACTGATGAAATCAGAAAAAGATTTATTTTGCATATATAGCATCAAAAATATTCACTTAATGTGGACTTATCTGTTTGTATTAAAAGGCTTTCTTCCAGCCAGGCGCAGTGGCTCACGCCTGTAATCCCAGAACTTTGGGAGGATGTGGTGGATGGATCACCTGAAGTCAGGAGTTTGAGACCAGCCTGACCAACATGGTGAAACCCCGTCTCTACTAAAAATACAAAATCAGCCAGGCGTGTTAGTGCGTGATTGTAATCCCAACTAGTCGGGAGCCTGAGGCAAGAGAATCATTTGAACCCGGGAGGTGGAGGCTGAGGTTGTGGTGAGCCAAGATCATGCCATTGCACTCCAGCCCGGGCAACAAGAGCGAAACTGTCTCCAAAAAAAAAAAAAAAAAGCCTTTATTCCTTCAAAATAAAGGCTCTAAGATAAGTTCAAGATTCCTTTGAATGCAAAAAAGAAAACTGGCTGGGCACAGTGGCTCAGGCCTGTAATCCCAGCACTGTGGGAGGCCAAGATGGGCAGACTGTTCCCAGTTCAAGGCCAGCCTTGGTAACACACAGAGACTCTGTCTAAAAAATTTACAAAAAATCAGCAAGGTGTAGTGGCACGCTCCTATGTTCCCAGCTATGCAGAAGGCTGGGGTGGAAAGATGTTGGAGCCAGGGAGGTGAGGCTGCAGTAAGCCAAGATCATACCACTGCACTCCAGCCCAGGTAACAAAGCGAGACCCTGTCTCAAAAAACAAAAACAAAACCTTCTAAAACAGTGAGCTTACAAAATGCAACAGACTGACAGCCACACTTAGTGAAACGTGAAGTATGTTCACGGAGCAGACAATGTGAAACATGACCACAGACCGCTATGAAAAACCATAATGTGCCCTTTACTTCATTTGCTTTTAGCTATTTCATAAACACCACAGACCGAGTTTGAGATGAAACAGAAAACACTGTTTTTCCATAACATAAACATGGCAGTCTTTCCCTTTAGCTCCTTCTTCCACACCCCCTTCACTGTGCTGAAGAGACACTGAGTTCTTCCAGGTTTTTGCTTAGCTGCGTGACTTCTGAACTCAATGGACTCTCCAGGTAGGCAGTTCCTGCACAGGGCTTTCCTGTCACTGGATCTATGACTTTTCCAACTTTGAAAACGATCTCGGCTAGTTCATGTTTCACATGCTTTGTTCGTGGAACAGGTAAAGCTCTGAGCAGCACAATATCTCCGACTGTGCACTGCTGAAGGGCATCATGGGCAAAGTAGGTTTTCCGCTTATTATAATACTGTTGAGAGAGGGAGAGAAACAAATCAGTAGTTCCCATCTACGACTTGGTAAGGCACTACGTAATATGAAAAAGTAATGCACAGAAAACAAGCCAGGGCTTGGGAAAAGATAAGACACCTAAGGAGGCTTCTAGCACAAAAATTAGAGCCTGAATGATATAGTGAGACCCATTCTCTACCAAAAAACATTTGCAAGGCATGGTGACATGCTTCTAGCCCCAGCCACCTAGGAAGCTGGGACAGGAGGACTGCTTGAGCCCAGGAGTTTGAGGATGCAGTGAGCTGAATCATGCCACTGTACTCCACCCTTGGGGCACAGAGATCCTGTCTCAGAAACAAACCCTGGCCGGGGGAAGCGGCTCATGCCAGTAATCCCAGCACTTTGGGAGGCCGAGGCAGGCGGATTGCCTGAGTTCAGGAGTTCAAGACCAGCCTAGTCAACATGGTGAAACCCCCGTCTCTACTAAAAATACAAAAAAAATTAGCTTGGCGTGATGGTGTGTGTCTGCAATCCCAGCTACTCAGGAGACTGAGGCAGGGGAATTGCTTGAACCAGGGACGTGGAAGTTACAGTGAGCTGAGATCGTGCCACTGCACTCCAGCCTGGGTGACAGAGCAAGACTCCATCTCAAA